GACCTGTGCGGGGACACCCCGGTTGAGCGCGCCACCGCCCACTCCCTGGTCCGGGCTCTGGAGCTTAGTCACGGGGCCAGGTCCTGGGCGTCGAACAGCGCGCCCCGGGCGTCAATCTTCCATGCATGTCCCTTCCTCCGGGAACAGACCAGCGCCGAACCGCTAATCCTGCTGCTGCTCCAGTCGTTTCGTTTTGAGGACACTCCTGACGAACGATTCGATCACCACCCACTGTTCCCGACCCTGGAGCATTGTCGGAACCACGTTTTGAGGTGTGATCCGTTCGCCAAGACTATCCTCCATCTCCCGTTTACGCGCCGCCCAGCGATCGCACGCGAAAAACGTGTGCTCCGCGGAGTCCATCAGCCCATGGCAGTACTGGCACCACGGGGGATGCCAACCTACCCATACGGTGGAGATACTCCGCAAACGTGCCGTGCCCCGACAAGAGCTGCGTCACGTAGAACGACAGCTGCCCGTGCCGTCGTTCGAGCCAGGGCCGGATTTGGGGAATAAGGCGATGTGTCCATCGACCCCTCTCCCCCCGGTCCCACTCCTCCTGCCAGCTCAGCAGAGTTTCGGCTCTGTACTGAGTCTCTCCTTGGCGGGCCTCTCGGCATCTGTCGTGGAACCTCCGTTGCCTTTCTCGAGCGAGCCACACGGCGGGGATGACCCCCGCGATGACCATGACGGCGTCGACCGAGACCGTACGGTACGCCATGGCCACCCGTAGCGCTCCAATGCGCTGCACCGAGGTGAGGTGCCTCCTGCAGTTTTTTTTCTGCAGGGCCTGCGCCCAGATCTCCGCGCCATAGAGGAGTATCGAATCGGCGACTCCAACCAGCAGCCTCCTTTTGTCTTCCCTCGGTCCGGCCATATTGGGCATCATCCGGGTCAGCCCCGCGAGGAGCTTTGACGCTTTTTCCTGCGTCCTCCGGAGATGCTCGCCAAAGCCGAGCCGCGAGTCGATCCAGACGCCGAGGTACTTTGTGCACCGGACGCTGGTGACCGTCACTCCCTCGACGTTTACCCGCAGGTCGCCAAAATCTCTCCTCCCCGTAAGCACCACCACCTCGGTCTTTTGGTACGCAAGCGCAAGTCCATGCGCCCCGAGCCACCGCACGATCCTCCGTATGGCCCACTCGATTCTCCTTTTGAGGTCTTCCCTTGTCCTGGCTCTCACCACGAGCGCAATGTCGTCGGCGTAGCCCACCAAGCGGGTGCCGGGGGGCATCTCCAGTCGCAGGAGTCCGTCGTACAGGATGTTCCAAAAGTCGGGACCGACCGCGGAACCCTGTGCCACGCCACACGTGACACGCCTCTCCTGGCGGCCCCCTGTAGTGTCGTACCGGAGCACCCGGTCTCGAAGATAGTCATCGAAGATTTTACACAGGTACTCCGGCACTTCGTGCTGCTGGAGGGAGCCCATTATGTCCATCCATCTCGCCGAGTTAAACGCGTTTTGCACGTCCAGCGTGACCAGCGCGCACGCGTCCCGACTCTTATGTGGAGCACTCCATGCCTCGAGTACCTCCCGCTTGACCGCGTCGACCGCCATCACCGTGGACCTGCCCTCGCGGAAACCGTACTGATTATCCGCCAGGCCCCTACCAGCGCCCACGGCAGCCCGAAGCCTGCCGCGGATGAGCCTCTCGAAAATCTTCCCTGTGCAATCAATCATGCACAGGGGTCTGAACGACGCCGGTGTGACGGGTGGTCCCTTGCCCTTGTCCAGAAGGACAAGGCGTTGGACTTTCCACCGCCCACTGAACATACCCATGCGCAAACATGCGTTGAACATGTCCAGCAGGATGTGCGGTTCCTCCCTCGCCACGATCTTTAATATTTCATTTGGGATCCCGTCCGGGCCCGGGGCTTTCCGGTTTGCGAGATCCCCCGTCGCCGCCAGTAGCTCCCTCCTCGTGAAAGGGGGGGCCTCCTCATCCACGACCAGCTCTCGAGCTCCCCGCTCAGGGTCGTCGGGGAAGAGAGAGTCTACGATTTTCCGCATATCTTCAGGGCCCATGGGTGCCACCGGTGCTGTCTTGCCAAGCCGCTTGGTAGCGATTTGGTATCCCAGCCCCCACGGATCCCTGTTGATATCCTCCCTCAGCTCCGACAGACACCGCTTCTTGCTGTCGCGAATGGCGGTTACGAGGCTCTTTCTTGCACTCTTGTACCGCCCTATCGCGGCCACTTCACGGCGTCTAGATCTTGTGGCCCTTCTGCGAAAACGGTGACATTCGTCCCGGAGCTCAGCGATTTCCGGCGTCCACCAGTACGCTGGCCGCTTAAAGGGCCTGACGGCCCTCCGTGGCATGCAGGCATCGCACCACCCCGTTATGAGGCCCATATTCCGCTCCACCAGCTCCTCGACCTCCTCTCTGCTGCTGAGCAGGTTCAAGTCGACCGGGACCGGTGCCGCTGTCAGGGCCTCACGGAGCACCGCCGCGTCCAACTTCGCGACGTTCCAGCCTTTGATGGTTTTATGCCTGGCATGTTGTGACGCCTGTCTCTCGCAGATGCTGAACATAATGCTCTGGTGGTCACCGGCCGTATACCTTTCAGACACCCTCCAGTCGGTGACCTTACGGGCAATCGTCGGTGTCGCCAAGGTGACGTCGACGATCGATCCCCGCGTGCCCGCTCGTCGAAACGTGGGGGCGCTACCGTGATTGAGGACAATGAGGTCAAGCCTTGCGGCCATTTCCATCACTGCCCTCCCCCTGTAGTCGGTTACATCGGCACCCCAGTCAACGGCTTTGGAGTTGATGTCCCCGGCCACAACCATGTCTTCGCTAAGCCCGATGACGGCGTCTTCGAGCGACGCGAGTCTCTCTCTGAAGACTCCCCTCGAGCTGTTCGGGGAGATGTAGCAGCTGACCCACGCTCTTTGGCCACACTTGATCCAGACGAAGCCCTCCCCGGCACCTTTATCGGTGACAAGGAGCTTGCCTCTGCTCTGGATCTTGATGGCCGCTGTCCCAGTCAGGTCTTGAAACCAGAAGGCGTGGTTTTCGTTCCTGTATTGCTCGCAAAGCAACAACCGGTCCGCGCCACACTCCCTGGCATTCTGGTCCAGCAGGTCCTGGGCCAACCGCGACCTCTGCAGGTTGGCCTGGAGAACGGCAATCATTTTTTGGCCGTACTTCTCCGTGCCGCCGCCGCGTAGGCCGCGCACTTGGCGCTACCGCGGAAGTGGGACGCCTCCTGTGGCAGCTCCATCGCCAAGCAGAGGCAGCAATTCGGCGCTTCTTGGCAGTCACTGGACTTGTGTCCAGGGCTGCCGCATCTCCAACATAGTTTGGACCGGTCTGGCCCCGCGCAATTTGCCGAGCCGTGACCGTATCCGAGGCACTTAAAACACCTCATGGGTGTCTGCCTGATTCGCATCGAGTAATGAATCCACCCGATACGAATCTTTTTCTTTGCGACAAGGGCTCGCGCCAGTCGCGAGTTCAGCGTGACTCTCACAGTCCGCTTCCCTCTCAGCATATTCGGCGCGAGCCAAATGTCCATCCCATGAGGCGATTCCTCGCCTAACTCCTTCCTGATTGCCGCCTCCACTTCCTCCTTAGAGGAGATTGGAAGCACCTCCAGCACCTCTACGGTCAGGTGCGGCTCCAACGACTTTACCGCCGCCTCTCCTTCCAGAGCTTGTTGTACTGCCTCCTGGAATTTGAGGCGGACAGTCGGGTCAGAGTTGCCCCCAAGTTCCACCAGCACTCCCCCTTTCTGGGTTTGCCTGATGGAGCGGACTCTCACGCCCAACCTGTTGAGGTCCACACCCTCCGTCATCCTCTTCAACACCTCCGTGTAGGTCTTGCCGGTTGCTGGAACTGCGAGCACCGCGTCCGGCTTGATCCTCACGGAGGCGCTCTTCTTCTTTTTCCTATTGTTTTTTCCTCCTGGGGCTGCCCGGTTACTCGGGTGGTTATTCCTAGGAGGGGCGTCCTTCTTTACCTTTTTCGCCTTCTTCTTTGTCGGCACTGTCGTCCAGCCCGGCTCGTCCTCCTGTTGCGAGGCCGTGTCCGATGGTGGCTCCTTCATGTCCATTGACGTTGACGTGCCAGCCTCGGACGGCATTGCGCCTTGGTTCCGCCGCGCCGCCACCCTGGCCTCCTCCTGCCTCTGCTTCTTGGGCTTCGGTCTAGCCGAGGGCGCCGCGCTGTCCTTCGGACTCGGCGTCTCCTGCCGACACCTTTTGATCTGCGCTGCGTCCCTGTTGGCCCTACTGTGCAGTCGTGCAGACAGCACCTCTACGATGGCCCTTGTCTCCTCTATGCCATCTTTAATCTCCTTCTTGGTGTTCCCGTGCTTACAAATGAGCTTAGTGAGAACACCAAGAATGTTGGAAAGCTTTCCAACGAGCTCAGCTTGGGAGTCGGACTCCAGAGTTTCCTCTTCCCTGTCTCTAGGCTCCGTTTCCTCCGTGCTCTCCTCGACGCCGGGTTTGATCTTACTCCCGGTATGATTTTTCCTACCTGTTGTTGCCTGCGGAGCTTGGTGTTTTTGTCCTGCAGGGGTGGGTGGGAGACCCAATGCACCTTGCGCTCTAGGTGCGTTTTCTTCATTATTTTCCTCTTCCATGTTTTTTCTTTTTCCTCCCAAAACCTACGTCGTGTATAGTGTGTTGTGTCATGTATGTCAGAAAACCTCCAGTAAACTGGAGGCCCTTTCGGCTCCCGCCGTCCACCCCCGCAGTATTCCCTCACCCCCGCGGGGCAGTGGCCTCGGCGTAGCCCCCCGCACCCTGCAGCAGGGTCCCATCCGGGCACCACCCGGCACTGATACAGGAGCGGGATTATACACCGTTGTGCGGGACGGCCTCCCTGGCGGTTAACCCAGGGTTCGGGTCCCCCTACTACCGGCGGCCCAGGAGCGCTTCTGGTTTTAAACGCTGTACCCTCTCACCCCGGGGAGGCCGGGAAAAAACGAGGGTGTCTAGCTGGTGTTCTTATAGCGCAAGTGTGCTGAGTGTTCTCGTGTAGTTGTTTGTGATGGAGTAGGTGTAATGCATGTGGCTTTCATCCGCCCACCCCGAGTCACACAGGGTGCCCGGGACGGGCACAGGAAGCTTAGTATGAAAGTGTCGTGATTTAGGTCTGTGTGCGTGTTGTAGTGTACTGACCCACCGGCTGTCCGCGTCTAAAAGACTAGCCTCAATCCGCAACCCGAGGACGCGCCGTGTTGTGGTGGTGGGTGCCCACTCCTCCCACCGCGGGGTGCACAGAGGGAGGCACGGAGTAGTAGTAGTAGTAGTAGTAGTAGTAGTAGTAGTAGTAGTAGTAGTAGTAGTAGTAGTAGTAGTAGTAGTAGTAGTAGTAGTAGTAGTAGTAGTAGTAGTAGTAGTAGTAGTAGTAGTAGTAGTAGTAGTAGTAGTAGTAGTAGTAGTAGTAGTAGTAGTAGTAGTAGTAGTAGTAGTAGTAGTAGTAGTAGTAGTAGTAGTAGTAGTAGTAGTAGTAGTAGTAGTAGTAGTAGTAGTAGTAGTAGTAGTAGTAGTAGTAGTAGTAGTAGTAGTAGTAGTAGTAGTAGTAGTAGTAGTAGTAGTAGTAGTAGTAGTAGTAGTAGTAGTAGTAGTAGTAGTAACTACTACTACTACTACTACTACTACTACGCTACGCGGCCTCGGCACTCTACCCCCACCTATCATCAACGCGCCTCGACGTAACCCGCAGAGGTTCTCCCTAGATACGTAAAAAACTATTATGTGCGTGATCAAACATCTCGAACGTTTAGTAATCTTGTATTTTTGAAATACGCAATAAACACATCGACTCTTTGCTTTTAAGTCACGTTTCATGTTTGCTCGTTATTGATATCTAGCTAATCCATGCTCGCACTACGAATCTGTATTTAATTCAATTTATTTTTTGCTAAATTTTGCATTTTGGCGCACATTTTTAGCTGTACGAAGTGCATACGCAGCAGCATTTAGTAATCAAGTATAATAGCTAATCGAGATGCTAGTTGCTTCACATCGAAGAAAAATTTGTTAAAGACGTTAAATAATAAATTCTTTTTTTGACTTACCATTTTAATAACAATTATTATGTGCATAGTTTTAAGATGAAATAGTAATATATTATATATCTGAAATTTCACAGGGTTTTATTCATTTGAGGATTTGGTTCCCGGCTTTTCCCGGTGTAGTCATGCTAGCTGATCAAGAATTGATTTTAATGTGTCGACCGCCGGAACCAACACTACTTCGGCACAAAGCTGCGGGGTTCGCCGGAACTTTGTAAGTAAAGATTCTACTAAAATTTAAATTGTTAAAAAATTATATAATTCTTTATGTACATACAACCATTTTATCGTTTAGTTTAAGAAGAATTTCTACGAGAAATTTATTTGCTTCAAATTTGTGCTGATATATATTTTTAATTTTAAAAACTAAAGTATCTTTAAATAAAGTATTATACATAGGAAATAATAGATATTAAATATGTAACGGGGTTGCTACCGTTTAATTAATTTCATCCGCGTAATCGTATTGAAAAACGCACGTAATTACCTATGTTCAATACGGAAGTCGGAGAGCAAGAGGGAACAGGTGTCAGTCAACCAACTAACTATGAATACGAAATAAACACGTCAAAAGTACTGGTTAATATCACAGACGAAAAATCTTTATTATTTCTGAATGTTACATTACACTCGGCCCGCGTGTTTATGTTTACATACCGCGCTCGCACGACAACGACATACAGTGTCGGATCGCTCGCCGCTCTTTGTTAGCAGAGCTATTACATGCACGTTTCGCCTCGAGTACGGAAAATTGATTATCAGGCATGCAATCGCGGTCGCGAGATTAAGCTGGCCAGCTTACCTTAATGACGAGTGTTCGGCAGCGAACAAAACTTAGCACACACACGTTCGGATAAAGTCTTTTGTTCTCCCTTTCTTTTGGGTCGCGAACTTGCGCGCGCACGGTTTCGCCCTCGATGGCGAAACACTTCACACACACTCGTGGTGGCAGGGGAGGACACCGTGTTTGCAGGCTCTGGTCAGCGCACTCTGGATACTTCGACGACAACAATCACTCGATCTCTGCCGTGCGTTCAGGCGATCAGGTTACGAGCCTCGATTTTTGCGGTCGCTGTATCGATAGCTAGTCCCATACTGGTTTATTTTCAATCGCGCGCGTTCCGCTTCGTCGCGTGCCGAATTCCCTCATTACGTTTTTCGTCTTCCGGTAGGTGCTGCCCCCGCGGGCAGCCACTAGGTTAGGCTATCAGCGCTAATATGACGTTTACCGTCACAAATAATAAATTTTTAAATACCTGTATTAATTTGGGATAAATTTATCAAAAATTTTGTTTGAGTGTTCAAAAATAATATTGATTACGACCGAAGTCCCAAAATTAATTATTATAATACAATCTATGATTTTACTGTTTGACTTATATGTTAGTAGGATAATTCCTAATAAATATCTGTTCTGAATTTATTTAAATTTACTTATAAAATATATGATTGCATTTTTATTTACCGTTCGACGAAATATCATCAGTTTCCTTAGGGTTTATTTATTTGAAAAAAAAACAATGGTTCGTATGCGTATTTAACTAATTAGTTAGAGAAACATTCTGTGAAAAACAAATATCTTCTGCGTGGTAAACTATTATCTTTCTCGAGCTATATAGACATGACTACCAAAATAGGAACAATAGTATTGTTCCATTTTTAATTAGCGGGTACCCCTTATAGAAAATATTTTATTGCATTGCAACTAATTTTTAAACTAATTTTTTCAAATACTTCTTCAAATACTCAGTATTATAGAGCCACACTTTTGACACAACGAGATAACCTCTATGGTTTTGTCCTAAAAGTTGTGGATACAGTGAGAGTTAGTTTCTTGATAGGTTTACTTGTAGTTCGGTAATAACTTTCTACTTAACTTAGCTTACCTTAAGATATATTGTATGTGAATGCAAGTTACAGACAATTAAAGAAGTAAAGTATGACAATCGTGTATCAAGCTATAAATGCAGTGTAAGTAAACTACTGTAACACAAATGATTTCTTATTCACTAAAACTACAACAAATATAGAGAGAAATTCAAATTAACGAAAATAACATTAGACTCATATATGCTCAAACAGTGAACGGTAATATTATAAAACACAATATCAGTCAGCTAGAAATTATGATGATGCAACTGATGTAGAGAATGAATACAATGTTCAATTTGATTACAACGTTCCTAAATAAGATTAAATGCATGTATAAATTAAAATAGCTGTTGGAACAGAAACGGATTAGCTTAATGAAGTCTTGAACTAAAAATCTTTCTAATAAACAATAATACTGATGTAATATTAATATCCGAAACCAACTTCATACATAAATTTCTTTGAAAATACCGCAATATTTTATATGTAACACTGTTCGTTCTGACAATAAAGAAGGTAGTAGAATAGCAAATTATTAAAAATACCAAATTATTAAAAGTACTTTCCATCATTACAAAATTTTTATATAATAACACATATTTTGTGTTCAACAACATTTATTATAAACAAATATTTGGAAGCCCGATGGGCTCACCTATCTCTCTTCTACTGGCTGATATTGTGATGGAAGACTTAGAGAAACATTACCTGAGCAGGTTGCGGAATGAATATCAAATTAATCCTGTTTTCTATTACAGATATGTTGATGATACTTTGATGTGCGTTCCCAAAGATAAAATTGATTTAGTTATCGAGACGTTCAATTTTTACCATAATAGATTACAATTTACGTTTGAAATTGAAATGAATAATTTTATTCCATTTCTTCACTTAAAATTGATCAGAAATAATAATAAATTAGAATTTGACTGGTTTAGAAAAACAACACAAACTGACAGAATTTTAAATTTTAACTCAGAACATACAATTCATCAAAAAGTTAATATAGTTTCAAATTTAGTTAACCGAGTATTTTTACTTGGTGACAAAAAATTTCATTCCAGCAATTTAAAAATAATTACTAATATCCTGAAAAAGAATAATTATCCATCTTTATTTATCAAAAAACATATACAGAAACGGATCAATAAATACAAAAAAGGGAATAATAATTCTTAAAAATTAGAAAATCAAAAATTACCTACAGTCGCTATTCCGAATAATTGCAACATCTTCAAAAAATGTTCATCTGTGTTAAAAAAACATAACATTATGCCTATCCCTTTATTACAAAAACCATTACAAGAATTTATCCGTTTAGGAAAAGACAAATTTGATTTATTAGACAACACTGGTATTGTCTACAGTTTTAACTGCAAACAATGTTCAGCGGTCTATATAGGTGAAAGTTAGCGTTCCTCAAAAATTAGATTAAACGAACACAAAAAAATATTGATTCAGCTACAGTAGTAGCTACACATAGAAGAACGTCCTCACACGAATTTGACTGGAAAAAAGCTAAGATATTGGATTATGAAAAGAGTTATAAGAAACGCAGAATATCCGAAATGTTACACATTGGCTTACATAAAAACACGTTAAATAGAAAAGAGGATATATAATATCTTAGTCACATTTATAAGCCTTTATTAAGATCGATGAGGAAGGGATAATGGATGAAGTGTATGTATATGGGTTGAAATACTTGATTTCTCACTTTATTGTAATTTGACTGTGCTACGAGCTATTCGTTTTAGCCTATAAGAATTTGACTTCAAGATTACTTTTGCAACTCTATTGTTAATAATTTGTTGTTTTTCTATTAATAAAGCCTGAAGAGGTCAGCAAATGTGCTGACGAAACGTTGCTGAATATAATTAAAATTAAGTGAATTTCCATTTCTCACTATTACCCTTCTTTCCATCATTACAAAATTTATCATTTAAAAATTTATAAGGGAATCAAGACAGTATGTTACGTTCATTAAAAGTACCATTGAACACCGCGTGAGCAAATCTCACAACCATGACTATCTACGAATATAAGCTACCAGTGTTATAGATGAATATAGAAAAAGGTTCAATCATACTTTTGGCCATAAACCATTCTCGCAAACATTGTATTGCTAAAGAACAATATAAAAAAAATACTTTAATAACTCGAAGTATTGATTTCTCACATCACGAGATTATTATATATTTACCGCGAAACATTTATGATAGGGATCAAGGTCAATAACTCAAAATCCAAGAGCAAATCCAAATCCGAATTCCAATGTTCGCGTTGAAATTGGAGTAAAGAGATTGATATTAATTAGAAATACAAATCCTATTTATAAAAGAAGTATGAATGATAAACAAGATATAAATGTCAGTATTGTAAGTGACACTTTCCTTATTAGAGAGATAAAGCTAATTTATGAAGTGTGTTGTTGCGCAAGTTGAGCTGTCGAAAATCCATCCTATGTTTTCTGCTCACTCTAGACCCAAGGGTCGTAGACGTTAACCTTTTGACCTTTTACCAATAAGAGAACAAAACTCGCTATATAATTCCTCACTCTAGTTTCCTATTAATTAAGGTCATGTCGCTATATGGCTCAATAGATTAACTTCAATCGTCGCCTGTATGGCTCATAGCGAACGCTTAAATCATGTTAATTTATGGTTGATGATAATTTATATGGATTGTACCAATATCTGGTCCATGTCGACTCGTTTCGAGTATGCCGATATATGGCTCAAATGAATAGATTAGTGGATGCTCAGTATCCGTCATCAATAATCAGTTTTGACAATCCATCTCTCGACCAGGATGATTATGATTATACCGTATTTGAACGTCAAGTTTTAGCGAGGTACGTATACTTTTACGAGCTTGAATAAGTTGTAAAGAGAGAGTCGTTTATTCGGAAATTAGAATTCTGTTCACGACTTCATTTATGATATAAATTACGTATGGAAGGGACGAATGATGTAATTAGTAAGTAACTTGCCCAGCGTGCAAATTACGATGTACTTACGCGAGAGAAAAATTGAGAACCAGAATGATTATTGGTAGAACGCATTTGCCGATTAATACATATGATTAGTGAGATGCCATTTCATCAACGACGAACAGACGATATAATATGAAAATGGGCAATTTCAGTGAAAGAAAAATATGAAAATGCGTCACAGTCGTGCTTAAACGAGACATCTAATTACTCGTCTATATACAGGGCGTAACAAAAGTACCGAAACGGTCCTGTATTTTTTCAGGAAAGATATTTTTGAAAAAGATTAGGGTCAGTTTTTTCGTAACTTTTTACAAGGAAATCAATAGTGACCTTGGATTTGACCTTGA